GGCTGGTAGATTTGAACAGATAATCTTCTCTTGATCCACAGAAACAGATGGGCTGACTCCTGAGAGTCTTTAGAAGCATGATGGGTAGGCAGCAAAGGACTCAATGCTATCGTTATCCTGGTGACAAACAATCCAATGCAACATATCATCAAGTGGATCTTTCCATGGTTATCCTTTCTCATCCATCCCTCCCAAACCCTGCTCCTTAAAATGGTGCTGTGACTTTTATATCCTAAACTTTGTACTTCCGTATCCCCTTGTTTTTCTCTAAACAGCCTCTGATTCATCTCGGATTCTGAGGACCTTAGATGTGGTTGCATAAGAATGTGAATATCTGCTTATTGCCACAGAACCGTTAAAATGGAGCTATCTCCATTTAAACCACCTTTAAGTGTGAAGTATATATCTGGTACTGGGGATTGAACTCAGGGCTACTGATCTATATCCCCAGCCCCGTCCTTTTTTTTTTTTTTTTTGAGAGTCTCCCTAAGTTGTCCCACTTAACCTTGAATTTTTGTTACTCTTACCTCAGTTTCCCTAGTAGCTAGGAATCAAATGTACATTACCATGCCTGGCTTATATAGGTATGCTTTACCTCAATTTATTTTTTTTGTTTTTGTTTTTTGTTTTTTTTTCTCCGGTACCAGGAATTGAACTCATGACCTTGTGCTTGCCAGGCAGGCGCTGTGCCACTGAGCTAAATCCCCAGCCCCTACCTCAATTTAAAAAATACTATTAGGCAGCCGGGAGTGGTGGCATACTCCTGTAATCCCAGCACTTAGGAGGCTGAGGCAGGAGGATCTTTGTGAGTTCGAGACCAGCCTAGGCTATAAAGTGAGCTCAAGGCCAGCTTGAACTGCATAGTGAGACCCTGTCTGAAAAAGCCAAAAATAAAAAATAAATAAATAAAAAATAGTATTAGACAAACTTAAGGAAGAAAAAATGTTTGGATTGTCCAAGCTGTAGTCCCAGCACTTAGGAGCCTGAGGCAGGAGGCTCACCCATGAGTTTGAGGCCAGCCAGCCTGGGCTATATAGCAAGACCCTGTCTTTAAAAAAAATTTCAGAATGACTGTGCCACCTTGTCCTTTCTCTGTCCAGGCAGTGCTGTCAGGTCCTACATTTTCTTAAAAGCTTCTCAGATAATCAGACCTGCCTGTGTGAACATGTAGTTAGTTTCTGACTCCTTGGCCCCCTCTTTGCCTTACAGCTTTTTGTTTATTTATTAATCTCAGAGCTGAGCTGTCTGCTTCCTTTGTGTTGGACAGAGCACCCTCCCCACAATGATCTACTGCAGATCTGGCCAACTGACCCTTGCTCACTGTTTAAAAGCATTTTCCTCCTCCTTTTTCAGCACTTTCCTCGGTTACTATAAATACTTCCCTTTCCTGCTTTGACTCTTTGAGGCTGGGGGCCATCGAATGTTTTTTGAAAGCTTACCCTCAACTAAGTATTTCTGGCTTTGCAAGTCATGGGATCCCTGTGGCAACTACTCTATTGTTAGGGAGAAAGTAGACAATGTTTAAGTGAATGAGCATGACTGTGTTCCAGTAACTTTATTTACAAACCCAGGTTGTGGTGGGATTTACACCACAGGTAGTGATTTAAGGAAAAAAGCCTTTGTTCTTGCTTCCATCTCAACCTGACCCAAGAGACCTTGGCCACGGCCTTGCTGTTCAGTTTCGAGATCTTGGATACATCTCCGAGGGTACTACTGACTTGCCAGGAAAACTAACAAAGGGCAGAATAGTTAAATGAGGTTTTTTGTTTGTTTGTTTGTTTGCTTTTTTGGTACCAGGAATTGAACTCAGGACCTGGCACTTGTCAGGCAGGCACTGTGCCACTGAGCTATATCCCAGGCCCAAATGAGTTATTTTTAAAACCAACACTTAAAATTTTTTTAAAAAACCCAACACTTTAGATCTTTAATGATTTTTGGTAAATTCCTGTATAAATACGGGGAAGTGTCTTGCATATGAATGAGTGGACCGTGTTTGTATAAAATATTTTAGAAGACAAAATTCATCCCTAGGAAATGCCTTTCTTTCTCTTTCCTTCTTTCTTTCTTTGTTTTTTTTTTTTTGTTTGTTTGTTTGTTTGTTTAGACAGGGTCTCACTCTGTAATTCAGGCTCACTTTGAATTCATTATGTAGGCCAGGCTGACTTCAAACTCACAGTTTCTCCTGCCTGACCTCCCAAGCACTGGGATCACAGACATCTGCCACCACACCCAGCTTGGGAATTTTCCTTATTTTCCAGATCACACTGATGTATTGCCTAGAGCCTCTGTTACTCTTCTCTTCCAAGGTCTCAAATTAGACCTTGTGGGGGTTTTTTGTTTTTATTTTTTTGAGACAGGCTCTTACTATGTAGTTCAGGCTAGCTTTGAACTCACTATGTAGCCCAGGCTGGCCTTGAATTTGCGAAGATCCTCCTGCCTCAGCCTCCCCAATTGCTGGGGTTACAGGTGTGTGGCATCATGAACAGATAAGACTTTGTTCTTTTTCTTGTTCCTGGAACGTGTCTCCTCAAGCCTACATACTGTTTCAGACTCAAGACTTTCCCAGGGAATTGTTACCCAACACCTCACAGAACTGTTACTCACCTGACAATGTACTTGTTTGTGAAAATGTCGCTCCCCCTGGCCATACACTGGAACCAGACAGATCCAGCCACTTGTACCTGTAATCTAGGCTAGGCAACTCCAGCAGGCCACCAAGCACTTGCACAAAGCCCTGGGCATAACTTGTGGGTTTATTTTTTTGATATAATTGTTGGTTTTGTTTGTTTGTTTTACAGTTTTCCAAGAAGAGAAAATGCAGTTTGATATAGCTGAAATATTTGGAAATCAAGTGTATGTAATATATATTATCTAGTTTGTGTTTCAAACCTATGGTATCATATATTCAAATTTATGAATATAAATTCATTCATTCTGCTTCCCTGAGCCATTGAAGGTGATGGAAAACCAAAGAGAAAATCAGAAACCTCATGGCAGACAGACTGTGAGAATCTGTTTGTGAATGGTCCGCATGGTCCTAGCTATTTTCCAAAACCAAACATGGTTTTAAGCATTTCAGACTCAGGGTCCTATTTTTCTGTTAACTCAATTTTCTGAAAAACGACTGTATTTTTATCCATGCTGAGCTGTTCCTTTATTGCTGTTAAGATTCCTATGTAGGCTGAGCTGGAGGCATGGTGGCACATGCCTGTAATCCCGGTACTCGGGAGGCTAAGGCAGGAGGATTGTTGAGAGTTCAAGGCCAGCCTGGGCTACAAAGTAAGTTCAAGGCCAGCCTGAACTGAATAGTGAGACGCTGTCTCAAAAAAAAAAAAAAAAAAAAAAAAAAAAAAGATTCCTATGTGGAGCTGGACATGGTGGCACATTCCTGCAATCTCAGCACTTGGGTGGCTGAGGCATGAGGATCACCAAGAATTCGAGGCAATCCTAGGCTACATAGTGGGTTCTAGTAAAATTTGAACTACATAGCAAGACCCTGTCTCTCAAAAAAAAAAATTCTATGGTTGGGAGTATAGCTCAGCAAGGACTTGGGTTGAATCCTCAGCATACCCCCACCAAAAAAAATACTCTTATGGTACTTTTTTCCCCCAAAATATTTCCCTATCTAGTCTCTCATTAATCTTTGTTTTTTTTGTTTTTCTCCGGTACCGGGAACCGAACTCACGACCGTGCGCTTGCCAGGCAGGCGCTTTGCCGCTGAGCTAAATCCCCGGCCCTCTCATTAATCTTTGAAGAAAATTTCAAGGTTGAAGATGAAGGAAAGTAGGTGATTATAAGATAATATGCAATGTGAAAAGCTATGTAACCCAGGCTGGTTTCAAACTCACAATCCTACTACTCAGCCTCCCGAGTGCAAGGATTACAAACATGTGCTTATTTCTCCATTTCCAAATGGAGAAATCAGCCCTACAGAAGCTGGGTAATTTAGTCAAGGTCAAGGGAGGAGGTCTTGTGGTAGTGCTTTCATGCCTAAGTTTCCTTTTTAGTTGCTTTTTTATGAGGGGGTGGTTACTGGCATTCAAACTCAGGACCTACCTCATGCTTGCCAGGCAGGCCCTGCACCACTGAGCTATATTCCCAGCTCCCTTTTTAGTTTCTGTTATAGTCCACTCTAGGGACCTCTCTGCTGCTCTTTGAGTAGTGGTTCCTAGATCATCTCAGTGCCATAAAGTTAGATGCCTACTTCAGTCACCAGAATAAAGCCATATAGGGTCAGGGTCAGCATGACCTCGATTTCCTATTGTGAAATCTGAGCTAGCTTTGTTGGTCAGTTGCGAGATGAGAGATTCCCTATTAATACACAAGTCCACATGCCAAACCTTGTACACAATAGCTAAGAATGTGGCATGGGGGAGGAGGTGGGATACATGATAGCAGTCTGGACTTAAGAGTCCTCTCCCTTTGTCCAGGTCCTGAAAAAGATCAATTTCTGGAGGTGGGGGATAAAAATGAGACTTCTACATGCCTGCTATTTATTTACTTATTTATTTTAATCTTGCAGTGGTAGAGATTGAACCCAGGGCTTCATGTGTGCTAGGCAAGTGCTCTACCCCTGAGCTACAACCCCAGCTCCAACATACATTGTTTAGCAGGGGAAAGGGGTTCTGGAAATCAAAATCAGGGCCCTTTATCACTGGGGTACATTGCAACCTTTTAAAAAATTATTATTTCAAAATAGGATCTTGCTAAGCTGCCCAGGTTGAGCTCAAACTTGCCATCCTCCTGTCTTAGCCTCCCGAGTTAATTGGGCTTCCAGGCATGCTCCTCTGCACCTGGCCCCAGCATGTCTTTGAGAAAGAAAATATGCACCATCACAAGGGTATACCAGCATGTGGTTTTGTGCAAAAATGTATGTGGGTATATACATGTGTGTTCTGTATACCAGTGAGTAGTGTATATGCCAAAGCATGTTTGGAATGCAGTCAGAGGAAGATCTGTATGTGTAGATCAACCCACCCCCCCACCTCTCTAATACTCACATCAGCTGCTTTCTTCTCTGCTAGCTCCAGCTTCTCCTGGGCATCTTTCAAAGCTTCAGAATACTTGTCCAGTTCATCTTCTGTCCCTTTCAGCTTCTTCTGCATGGCTGCTAGTTCATCCTCCAGCTATAGGAGCCCCGAGAGTCACACACAAAAACATACATACACAATCATATGGACTTGGACTCTGATAGACCCCCTGAGCCCAGTGTTCCCAGCCACTTTCTGCCCACTGCTGCAGGAGTTATGCTATGGCTTTTAGCTGTGACTCTTCCATCTCTGACCTTAATATGACCAAGCCATCATGAGTTCTCATCCAGGACCCTTGGCGGGTAGAGATGTCTGTGATTCTATTTTAAAGAGATGGTGCATGCTAAACTCCTCTTACATTGTCCTTTAGAAATCAGGGGTTCTCCTAAAACATGGTTCACTTCAGATGCACGGTGGCCCAGAAAGGGCCACTGACTTTCCCAAGGTCACACAAGTAGTCTGGGGTAGGTACCCTATATTCCTCTACCAACACACCGAGACTGGGGAGTCCCTCCACTCAAAGAAGTTGCCGACACTAGTGGTTTTCCCATTTCATGAAAACCCCCTTCTATCTCATGGTCTTATTCTCCAGCATGCGAGAGACCAGTGCCGATGCCCACCTGTTTACTTCTTTCTTCGGCCTGTTTCTGCTCAGCTTCAGCTTGCTCCGCCCTGTCCAGAGCGTTCTCCTTGTCCAGCTTCAGCATCTGCATCTTTTTCTTGATGGCCTCCATCATGGGCAGCAGCTGCTGGTGAGCTCACCTGTGAATGCTCTAGAACTGGAGACCAGGGTAAGGAAAGAGGGGCTGCGGCTTGAGTGCTCAGGAGGTCCCCAGACTTGAGCCTTTATCTGTGCTCACAGCTCCACCTCTCATTCCGAATATGGTCTTCCCTACCCCATCATTGTTCTCCCAGGAGAACACAGGGTGAGACACATTGACAGATTGACATCATCAGCAGAAAAAAAAAGGAGGAACAGCTGAGGCTGATTTTAGACGAGGGAAATTGAGGAGGGGAGAGTTTCTCCCTGTCCCTGAAACTTACCACTCACTCATTCTTTTTTTTTTTTTTTTTACCACTCACTCATTCTGAGCAGCTCTCTGGGTGTTTGAAAAGTGCAGATAGTGATTAGCATGGGTGGTATAGTGAGACCTCCTCTCAGAATAAAACAAAAGTGCAGGAACAGGAGAAGGGAGAGCGTTGAAAAGGGGAAGGGTATTTGGCAATTCTACAATGGCATTTTCATCCAGAAGATCCTGGTTGCCCTTCAACTCCTCCTTGCTCTCCCCTAGACTGTGTTGGATACTGATCACTCTATGGGTTGAGTTTAATCTCCTGATTTCAGGGAGCTTGAGCAACAGTGAAACGGGGGAGGTCAGTCATGATCCTTGACAATTCCCCCAGATCCCCAGATCAAATTGCTGTACTATTTTGGGAGTCTCTAACTGGCAGGGAGACCTCGTTCCTTTCCCCTAAGAGCCATGGGAATAGAGTAAGAGGATTGGGATCTGGAAGGCCATCCCAGGGGATGAACTGTGGGGTCAGGGGAGTAATCCAGACAAGATCACACCCTCGGTTTGTTCATAGTGATCTTAAAATGGAACTTTTCTACCACATGTACAAGGTCTATGTAGTGCTATACTCTTCTTTCTCTCTTCTTAACAACACTCCCTGTGAAACCACCACCGACCACATCACCATAACCATCATTGCTACCTCTCTTCTCCCAGTTTAGCTCCAGGCCATGTTCATTTTTCCATTTGGTGTCTTGTTATTGACAGGTGGCCAGTAATCTCCATCCACTGGTGCCATACACCCAATAATATGTCAGGGGAGTGGTGGGCACTGCTCAAGGTGACCAGAGCTAACAGGGAAAGATATAAATGACCTAATTAGTCAAAATGTCAAGGCTAGTTAGTGTAAGCCTCAGCAATGTGGGAACTAAGACACCCACTGGGCAGAAGGCAGAATTGAGCTGGAGTCCATCCAGAGAACTTCTAGTCATTGGCTAGTAGTGGTAGATTACTCCTGGTAGACCAGGCAGGTGGACCAGCAGCTCACTCATGAAGGGAATCAGAGAAATCAAAGACCTCTCTCATGGAGACTAGCCAGCAGGAGGGATCAGGGAACAGCAGAAGGTCCCAGGGAGAGGAGATAGTGAATAATGGGGAAGATGATAGGGAAAAAAATATAAGAAGAGAAGGAAGAGACACATACCCATTCTAGAATAAGAGGACAAGATACAGATTTGATCCCCAAATTCTCTCTCCCACTCCCACATCAGTCCTCCAGGTTAAACTCGAAATCCACATTAGGTTGCTGCTACTGGTCCTTCGGGTGGGGGTCCTGGAGAGAGGTGGCTTGGTAAAAATGACAAGAGCCCCAGATCCCTGAGGATGAGCTAGCGGTGCTGAATCACCTGCTACTGTAAGCATATGTTTGACATTTAGTTGGTTTCTAGTTAAACAACCCAATATCAAACATATCACACAGAAGCAGGCAGGTGAGCTTGGTGGTCATCTCCTTTTCCTCACTGCCCAGAAAGGCACTGGCAGAGATACCAAGGGCCTCTCATGTCTACATGGAGCCACCTGTTTGGCAGGCACTGACTCCTGCCCGTCCCTCTTACTCATCTGCCCTTCGTGCTGTCCCTGCCACCACATTTCTCACCCTGTGCCTGGCCTCTGCTGGGTCACGTTGGCCTGGAGCAGGAAGATACTGGGCAGAGCTCCACATCCGGGCACTTATCATTCCCCAAAGCTCCCGCACGAAGCTTTGCCCCCTTATGTCACGGCCCCAGTGCCCAGAGGATCAGCTGTGTCAGCAGCTTCTCATCAGCTTTGCCACCTGCTGTCTTCAGTGCCATTCCAGCAGCTCCAAGGCTTTCCGGGCATGGGGGTGGGAGGCTTGCATATCCTGCTTTACTTTTCCAACAGACTCTCAACCTTCCCAACTACCCGCTCCCATCTCAGCAGCCTCCTGCTCCAATGAGTAGCGTGAGAAGTTTCCAGGATGCTGACTTTCTCCTCTCTGTTATCTTGTCCCTTCTCACCTTTTCCCCATGTCCTCCAGACATCCTCCGTATAGTCACCATCAGATGTGCAGAACAGAACAGTGAGCTGTCTCTCCGGCAGACTCTAGCCTGGCTTCACAAGACAAGACCTGTGGTCTCTCCTGTACGGCAGAATTGAAACTAAGGCTTGAGACCGTGGGTGAGAGAGGAAACCCCCTCTACCAGAAAGTTGCCTGCAGTCTTTAGGACTCCCCTTTTCTTCTGGGGCTTTCTACAAGAACTTCCCAGCTGGCATCTCCACGGGTCTTCCCTCACAGGGCTCCAGCCTGGTTCCCTTCTCGGGGGTTTTTCCTTCTGAGAGGACCGGGTCTGTGGATGTCATGTGGTGGGCAGATGCTTCTCTCCACTGTGACAGAAAGGGGCTCGAGTTATAGTTATACTGGGGGTTGGGGGGCTCCAGTGGAAGTGTGGGGTGGGAGGAGAACACGGCTTCAGCCTCGGGCCTGTTCCCTGTGTCCTTGTTTCCATTAGTCCTGACACCAACCCTCCCCCCATGCACCAACTCCACACTGACCTTGATCTAGATCGATAGCTTGTCTCAAGCCCAGTCAGTTCGTGTTGTGTAGCTCTTTCCTTCCAGGGAAAGACTAACAAATGGGCATGCAGGATCCAAGGTAGGAAACTGTGGTAGTGTACTTTGTCTGTTTTTGTGGTCCACAGAGAGGGTGAGGGTGTGTGTGTGTGTGTGTGTGTGTGTGTGTGTGTGTGTTACCTCCTTGTCCTCCCTTAACACCCCAAGTTCTAGTTCCCTTCTCTGAGAACTTGACTACACTGGGGAACCAGAGGCTGCAGGAAAAGAGATTGAAAAGGAGTGCAGCAGGAATTGAAAAGGCTTTGGTTCTGGAGCCCTAGGGGAACAGAGGCAGACCGGGAGTATCGGTATGGGGAGCAGCAGCTCTCTTGGAAGGAGCTGTTGAACGGCATAAGCATGCAGAAGCATCACATGGCCTCTAATGAAGCCCTCCAACTCTCCTAGAAGTGCTTCCTAGGCAGCTATTTCAAGTAGCACTGAGGCCTTCTGAGCCACAGAACTGGGTAAGGAAGGCATCACAGAGGGGCAGAGGGGCTGGGTGGATGCAGTAGGGTGACGTGATGAGAACAGACAGAATATGCAGAGAGGGTCAGCAAAGATGGGCTCCATAGGGGAACAACCTGCCAATACTGGAGCCAGCTTGGGAATGACAAGCCCTGGGGTAAAGGGCCAAGGTCAGGGATCAGGCAGAGGGATGGGGCATCCTCTGGGTCCAAATGAACAGAGGAAAGAGGAAGAGAAAAATAGAAGAGGTTGGTGAGGGAGTGGGTCGGAGGTAGGGGGCATCCAGGAAATGCAGTGAAGATAAGGGAAAAGCTATCATGGGGCAGGAAAACACCACTGTGGGTCACCACAATGGACATTATGTGCAGCTCTCTGCTATATACTTTACTTAATCCCACAGTAACTCCGTGTGTTGGTTTGGGACTTATTTTGCAAGGGTAAACAATATTATGCAGGACACATATTTTATAAGATAATTTATAATAGTCACCCAAAGAATGATGTACAAGAGAGTGCAGGAAATCTGTCCACACACTAAGACCAAGGAATCTAGCCGAGGGCCTGGATCCCACAGACTTGTTCTGTATGAGTCCAGCTGAAGACCTAGAGCTCATAACAATGCCTCCCATGAGTCCCACTGGAGGCCTAGAGCCCATAACAATATCTCATGCAGGCCTGTTTCACAGATCTGCGCTGGGAAGGCCCAAAGGTCAGTGGTAGAATCTAGGAAGTCTGTGCCAGTAGGATGAAGAATCTGTGCTAGCAGGTTGAGGGATCTACACTGGGGCCAGGAAGTGATGCTCAAAGAAGAACCAGAGCTCCCCTGAAAGGTACCACAGCCATCCTCAGCATCAGTGAGGTCCTGAGCTCCTCCAGTGGTGAAGACAGCTGAGTTCCCATCAGGAAAGCCAACGCAGCAAGCTTCTCTAAGAGACTCGTAGTGCACCATATTCCCAAGCCAGGAAGCGATGCTCCAAGTGAGGACCAGAGCTCCCCCAAAGTGAACCAAAGCCTTTCTCAGTGCCACCAACGTCCCAAGCTCCTTGGAGGATGAAAACAGCCAAGTTCATCAGGAAAGCCAGCATGACAAGCTCCTCCAAAAGAACCAACAGCTCCTTACAGCTTCTACCAGCTCCAACAGCTTCTCAGCTCCCAACAGCCTTTTAGTTCTCAAAAGCCTTTCTCTGCTCCCAACAGCTTTTCTTCTTCTTCTCCAGTTCTGCCTCTTATACTGCTGGCAACAGACCCCAGGTGGGCCTCCCACACCCAGCACCATGCTTACTCAGTTCAGCTGGGAGTTATAAGTTGACCACCAGTTGTCAATCCCCTACAGTGAGGTAGGCGTTATCTCCAGCTTACATAGAAGGAAGTATAACCCACAAAATTAAAATAACTCTTACAAGGCCACACAACCAGTAAATAAGTAACAGAGCCAGGACTGAAACCCAGTTTGCTCAGGATTAAAGCTGTTCTCTTCAGTCCAGGGTATCCTGCCTGTGAATAAGCAGCAGAAGGTGGCCTGGGAGACAAATAAAAGATGAAAGAAGGGAGGGGAGATGAACCTGACCTTTGGGGATGAGCAGGCAGGAAAACAGGAGTGGGAGACTCACTCTTAGGGTTATGGTCAAATCCAGGCCATGTGTGTATAGTTTTGTCTCCCATAAAACACATTGTGCCAGGCACAGGGTTACATTGTGCCCACTGGAGTTACAGGTGTGAGCCATCACCCCTGGCTGACCCTCATCTTTAGTAAGTAACTACTTGTGAGTTCTCATACCAGACAAAAAGCTTGTAGGCTGGTGAGGCAGGCTACTTTTTTTTGAGACAGGCTCTCACTATGTTGTTTAGGCTGGCCCTGAACTCACTATATAGTCTAGGCTGGCTTTGAACTCACGGTGATCCTCCAGCCTCAGCCTTCTGACTGCTGGGATTAGAGATGTGCACCACCACACTCACCTTATATATGGATATATAATTTTTGAGACAGGGTCTCACTATGTAGTCCAGGCTGGACTTGAACTCTCTATGTAGCCCAGGCTGGTCTCTGATTTGTGGTGATCCTCCTGACTCATGTCGTTCTCTTTGTATCCTGCTGCCTCTCAGCTGAGCAGAAGGGTGTTTAGGGGCAGAAGGAAGAAGCTCTGACAGCTAGGTGATGAAAAATGTGGGTTTCAGGAGGAGACAAATTGGAGGGAGGGGAGAACGAAGGCTGTATCACAGTGGATGAGTGATCTTCGAGGAGGCTGGGGGCAGGGGGAAAGACTAGGGAAAGGTGATGTAGAGTGGGATTACATTGGGGGCAACAGCGTGAGTCCACAGCTGTTACTGGCTGCTCCAGATGTCACCTGCATATAAGGTGGACCCTTAGCTGGTAAGATTCTCTGTGGCTATCACTGCATACAATCAACCAACACTTTTCAATATTTTGAATACTCTTTCCAGGTCCCCCAAATGCCACTACTCGTTTTTTTATACTTGCTGCATTACCTGCTTGATCCCTGGAGGCACCTGAGTTTACAACCGCTCCCCCTGCCCCTTGTTTTTGTACCGGGACTCAAACTCAGGACCTTGCGCTTGCCAGGCAGATACTGTGTCACTGAATTGTATCGCCAGCCCCAATCCTCTCATTTTGGTAGAGCTAGGAATTCGGGCCCAGCAGAAAGAGGCTTCTCCAAGGTTTCACAGTAACTGGATGATTCAAAGCCTAAAATCCATGTCTCCTGATACTCAAGCACCACAGTGCCTGTAGATTAACAGCCATATTCAAAGCTATCTGTCCACACAGAAAATATTATTGAGAGATCTGAGAAGTGGTTCATGAAACCCAGAAAGTTAGGAACAAACCTAACTAAGTTTAGGGCTGAGAAAATGGGTCACGTGGTTTAAGTGTGATCCTTATATAACTTTATTGGTTAAACCAAAGCAGGATTTTCATCTGTAACATTGCACGTTCCTTTGCCGGCTGACACTGCATATCATTGCATATCTCAGTCTGACCACAAGGCGTCACTCTTGTTTTTCATCATTTTTTTTCACAGATTGTTTCCTAAATGGCTAGCGGGTAGGGAAGACAGCGAAGAGGTGAGTATAAGCATTGTTTTAAATCCGGGGCCCAGGTTGATTTGGGGACGGTAGTTCAAGGTGGCAGACACTCAGCAAGGCTCGGTTAACAGGTCCGATGAGAATGGAAGAGCAGTGTTTTGAAGGCTGTCAGAGTCTCTCCACATAAAAAGCTTTGCCCATCTGGCTGAGTTCCTGCTGGTACTGCTGATGCTCCTTTTCAAACAGCTGGTGCAGGGCAGCTCGCCGGACCTGGCGGGGAGGACAGGAGAGTGTGGCACTGGCCCTCTGTTACCACCCTTTCTCCTCCTCTCCCCTGCTGGCTTTACCATGACTTGTGCTTTCTTGGACCCATTCTTAGCTATGACATAAAGTTAAGTGGTAGCAGACGCTAAACCAGTGTAGGAGAAGCATTTTTGAATTTTTTCTCCATGGGCGGACCCTCATATTCAGCAAATATCTCCTGAGAACATACCATGAACCAAGAATTTTTTTGTTTGTTTGTTTGAGACAGAGTCTTGCTATGTAGTTTATACTGGCCTTGAACTCACTACATAGCCCAGGCTGACCTCGAATTCACAGTGATCTTCCTGCCTCAGCCTCCTGAGTGCTGGGGTTACAGGGATGCGCCTGTCTGGCAAGCACAATGCCCACCACACTGGGCGTGAACCAGGAATTCTGGTAGGCATAGGATACAAAGATAGTGACGTGACAGCAATTGGGACCCAAGGGAGAGAAAGGAGTATGGTGAGGCAGGTGCACCGAGAGGCAACTTAGAAGACTTTCAGATGTGTCACTTGCAGGTTGCATGAAAAGAACCACTTACTGAGAAAGAACTTTGGCATTTGTAGTTACAGCTTTGTCCTGGTATAATGGGGAAAGCCACAGAGGTGAAGGAGATGAGTAAGAATGACTGAGACCAGGAGCTGGGAATCCTGGCCAACAAAGGCTCAGGCAGTGAAGGGTGAGCCTCAGATGTTCTCCTAGAACTCACCACCAGCAGTTGTTTGTTAGCCAGTGCCAATTCTCGTTCCATGGTGTCCTGCATCCTTAGGATGGCGTATGGGTTTCTCCTCTGATTCAATGTCATCTGCCACATACAGTGAGTATGTGATATTTGCCACCTGCCCCAGGTATATACAGAAGGAAGTTGAACAGATTGGAGTTAGGAGTGAGACAAAACTCCATCAGTGAGGCTGCTTAGTTACCCAAAGCCCCGTGTTATTATCAGAAGACTGCGCGCTGGGGATGTAGCTCAGTGGCATAAGCGCCTGCCTGGCAAGCACAAGGTTGTGAGTTCAATTCCTGGTACTGGAAAAAAGCCAAAAAAAAAAAAAGATTTGGAACCTAGAAATATTAAATATGTCTTTTACTCATTACTCATTTTAATCATGAGGCACAGGTTTTAATTTTTACATAATACAGACAAGCAAACTAAAAAGTTGTGAGTTACTCAGGGTCACTTAATGGCAGACCTAGGTCTCACTTATTGTCCCTAATCCTATTGTTTCTTTGAATAAATATTTCTTAAACAACATAAAGGTAAAAGCTTAGCCCTGAACCCCATACTTCTCCACAAAGTTAGCAGTTTCTGTTACAGGTGTGTGCCACCACGCCTTGATCATCTTCTTTAGTTTTACATGTATTTATGCTTTGTTTCACTTTTTGGTGACACTGGGATTGAACCCAGGATTTCAGACATAGACAAGTGCTCTGCCAATGAGCTAAAACGCAGCCTTTTGCTATTGTCAAATACATTCCATCACACCATTATATAAGCAGTGTTGGTAAATATTTTGGGCTTTTTACATTAGCATACAGAGATTTGCTTCATTCAGGTTTTTTTGTTTGTTTGTTTTTTGAGACAGTGTCTTGCTGTGTAGTTCAGGCAGGCCTTCAACTATGTAGTCCAAGCTATCTTTGAACTCCTGACAGTCCTCCTGACTCAGCCTCCCAAATGCTGGGATTACAGGTGTGTACCACCATTCCCTGTTTTTTTTTGTTTTGTTTTTTGTCTTTCTGAGTTCAGGCTGGCCTTGAGTAGTTTAGGCTTGTCTTGAACTCTATGTAGTCCAGGCTGACCTTGAACTCACAGTATTCTCCTACCTCAGTCTCTTAAGTGCTACAACTATAGGCATGTACCACCACACCCAGGCTGCTTCATTCAGTTTAAGGTTCATAGTATTTTGTGTAATTTAACCAGGTAGGTTGTTTCTAGCTTGTTTTACTCTTATGAACAGCTCTGTTATAAGCATTTTTCCTTTTTTTTTGAGAAAAGTTCTCATTATGTAATTCAGGCCTGCCTTGAACTATGTAGCCCAGGTTGGCCTCAAACTCATGACAATCCTCCTGCCTCAGCCTCCTGAGTATTGGGATTACAGGCATGCGCCACCATGCCTGGTTAGTTTTGCAAGCACACCTATGTAAGATAAATCCTCAGAAGTGGAGTTGTCAGTTTAAAATGTGTGTTTTAAACTTTAGTAGATTTCATCAATCTGCCTTTGTAAAAATGGCTGCACCAGCTGGGCATGATGGTGCACACCTGTAATCCCAGCACTTGGGAGGCTCAGGCAGGAGGATCCTTGGGAGTTCAAGGGACTATGTAGTGAGTTCAAGGCCTGAAGTACATAGCAAGACTCTCTCTCAAAACAAAACAACTCCCAAAATAAATAAATGACTGCACCAACCTAGACCCTCACTAAAATGTGTGTTGTTTCCTTATACCCTTGCTAGCTCTAGGTATAATAAAATCTTAAACATAGGCTTCTTCTAATTGGCATGGTAGTGCATTCCTGTAATCCCAGCACTCTGGGAGACTGATGCTGGGGATTGAAAGCTCAAGTCCAGCCTGGAAAACTTAGTTGAGAACTTGTCTCAAAATAAAAAATAAAAAAAAGGGCTGAGGATGTAGCTCAGTTCAAAGGCCCTGGGTTCAGCTGGGTGTGCTGGTGCATGCCTGTAATCCCAGCATTTGGGAGGCTGAGGCAGGAGGATTGTTGCAAGTTCGAGATCAGCCTGGGCTACAAAGTGAGCTCAAGGCCAGCCTGAACTGCATAGAGAGACCCTGTCTCAAAAAGAAAAAAATAAACAAAGGCCCTGGGTTCAATCCCCAGTACCACAAAGTGTGTATGTGGGGGGGCAGGTGTTTGATACAGGGTCTCACTGTGTAGCTCAGGTTGGCCTTTAATTCAAGTTGATCCTCCTGCTTCAGCCTCCTGACTGCTGGGATTATAGGCATATGCCACCATACCCATTTTGTTTTTGCCATTTTCTGAAGCAGTTCTGGAGTCCTTTTTTGTGTCTTTATGAGGTGATTAAAAACATGGTGAATGCTGTTGCCATGTATCATCCAACAGAAGGCGCATTCATAAAAACAAGCATGTGTCCTCTTTCACCTTATTCAGTGGATCTGGCACCGTGCAACTTCTAGCTCTTCCCAAACATCAAGATGACCATCAGGGGGTCAATGTTTTCAATCAATTCAGGACACAGAGGCAGTCATGAGAGTACAATTGAAGATGTGATGGGAGACTTTTAGACCTGCTCCACAATGTGGCAAGAAGGATGGGATAATTGTGCTTGAACAGCAGGGGAGTATTGTGAGGGTGAATAATGGTAATGGGTCTTTTACTATAATAAATTTTAAAAATGTTAACTGTTAACATCCACTGTATTTTTTTTTCATATCATGTATGTCTCCAGCAATTCTATCATTGCTTTTTATTTATAATTTTATTAGTTTATTTTGGACATAGGATGGTTGGGTGTAGTGGTGCATGTCTGTAATCCCAGTGCTCAGGAGGCTGAGGTAGGAGGATTGCTGTGAGTCTGAGGCCAGTCTGAATGCATAGTGAAACCCTGCCTCAAAAACACACACACAAAAAAAAAAAAAAAAAAAGAGAAAGAAACCATTATTTTGGACACAGGGTCACACTATATAGTCCATGCTGGCTTTGAATTCATTGTTTGGTCCAGACTTGCCCCAAACTCATGATCCTTCTGCCTCAGCCTCTGCCCAGTGCTGGGATTATAGGTAGGCACCACTGTAACCAGGTAGTATTCATTTGCAGTACTGGGGACTGAATGAATGGTGCTCTACTATGGTACTGAACTACATACATTCCCCAGTCCATATATATGTGCATGTACATGTATATGTATGTGTGTATATATGTATATATATATTTTTTGGTGGTACTGAGGATTGAGCCCAGGGCCTTTATACTGTTACATCTCCAGCAATTTTTAAAGTTTTTGAGACAGGATCTAAAGTTGCTTAGGCTGTCTTGAACGTGTGATCTTTCTGCCTCAGCCTCCCAGAGTCCTTTTATTTTTTTGAAAGGGTCTCCCTAAATTACGCAGGCTGGATGCCAACTTGTGACCCTTCTGCCTCAGTTTTCCAGTTTTCCTGGCAGCTAGGATTACAGGTGTGAGCCACCTTACCCAGCTTGTCCATATATATA